CCGGACGCGGCAGCGGCGTCTCCGTTTTAACGAGACCCCCCGATGATCTCGGCGAAGGCCCACGTGCCCCGTGAATTTTATCGGGGTTCCCGGCTGGCTCACGGGTCCACTCCCAGGTCTTAGTAATAAAACGCCGACTGCGAGTCGGGTTGCGGACGGGGGGCTCGGCAGGGCCTGAAGCGGGAGACACCGGTTCGAAGCCGGGGGTGGGGGGGAGCCTTCGCTTTGTCAGATAAATGTCAGATTCAACCCGAAGTACGAACAACGTGATCGCACACTTGAATCAAGATTTTAAAAAGATGAGTCAGCAAACATTTTCTCCGCTCCCCGACTTGGCCAAGAGTTACCTGACGGATTTCCGCTCGGTGCAGAAGTCGACGGAGGCAGCAGCTCCTTCGATGCCGGCCCGGTCTCCGCCCCGCCGCGCACCCGTCCCTCACATCTTCGCGGACTCGCGCGACCGTGAGAGGACGAGCCGGGGCGGAAACGGCCACCCCCGGCGGCCTGCGGAGCGTCGCGCGTCAGCAGCGGCCGGACCGCGGCGCCGGGGCCCGAGGCCACTTCCGAGGAATGGCGCCGCGCCAGGGCCGCACGCATTCCCTGCGCGCTTGCGCACGACACGCCCCTCCCACGCGTTGGCATGGCAACGCTGCTTTAGCCAATCAGGTGGCAGTCTCGAGGGTCTGGACTACGTTTCCCATGAACCTCTCGGAAAGCAAGCCGAAGCCTTGCCTGGGCCGGCGGGAGAGTACTTCCAGAAGTTTCTCGGGCTTGAGAAGCGTCCTATGTCCACAGGGCCCGCAGGGTCGTAGTTTGAGGGACTCACCGCCGCACTGGCGGAGGTTTTTCGCTGGACTCTGAGCCTCAGAACTCACCATTTTGACAATAAGGTGACAGTCGGACGGTTCTATTGACTAGTTAGGCGAACGTATAAATGAAGCTGCCCTTTTAGCCAATTAGAATTGGCATTTGGCCCATGCCCCACCCTAACTGCTGTTCCCTTGGTAACCAGTGGCCTATCAGCTCAGGGAGGACCACAGTGGTAAGCCACGAAGATGCTGTAGTGGGTCCTGGACATTGGCACAGACCCCGGATTTCTCCAAACTGGCTCAGAGCGAGCAGTGACCTGAGGTCGATCGTTCATTCACTGGTACCACACGAATGATAGGAGCGCCGCTGGGTACCCTGTTACTGATTAGAAAAGCTATCAGCCGTGTATTAGGCCCTCTTCAGATCATTTTAAAACTATTGATAGCATCAAATCAATAGAAAACATAAAAACAGGGGCTTAGTCACTGAAGTAACTGTGGAAATTGGTGGTAAAGTTTAAAAGTAATCTCCTCATTTCGTTTGTCATTGTTAAAACTTCCAGTCTGTCTAAAGAAAACTTGAGACAAAATAATCTGGAAGCGTTATTTACAAAAATGGGGCAACCTGCCGAAACCAGCAAGTACTTAACAAAAAATGCCAAATTACCAAAACAACTAAGTTCACTGGTGGCAGAAAAGGGAATAAGTTGTCCATGACAATCATCATATGCCCAGGTGTCCTTGTTTGGTCAGTTCTGCAAAGTACATAGTGAAGTTTTTTGCCTGGATTGATGGGGAATGTCCTCAATGGCTGGTTTGTGGGGGTTTTTTGAGGACCAGAATGGATGACGTTATTTTCATCATAATAGACAATTCTATCTTCCAAGTTTGAGTGTGAGGTGGGACAGAGGCAGTTTTGACCATCAGGTGGTTAATTATTAAATCCCACTGCTATTCAGTGGACTCTTGAGTCATGACCCAATAGGACAGAGCAGGACTGACCTATAGTTTCGGAGGTTGTAAATCTTTATTGAGAGCTTATTACTTCACCTGTCTTCCTTGCACATGGATCTGAATCACTCTTCTTTCAAGTCACAGCCCAACTAACTCACTGTGCCACATAGGCTCCTGTGATTTATTCAGCCAATCCTAAATAGTTTGCCTGTTTCAGTGCAGAGGGATGCCTGGCAATTAAATACTCTCACCGGAAGCTCTGAGTCTGTAAGTGGGGCTCATTAACACTAATCTTTGCTGTAGTGATAAGTGCTTCAAGATGTACCCTTTCAAATAAGCCCCTAACTGGAGTGTCTTGACGTTTCTTCCTCTAGGACTCTACAGAATCCCTGGACTCTCCAGTGGTATAGTGGGCAGGGTGTGGGCGTAACCTCTCTAGCAGTTCGAAGCCACCAATGGGTTCATGGGAGGAAGATGGACCATCCTCTCATGTGATTTACGGCCAGCTGTGAGTCAGTTCCACCCCAGCAATGAGTCAATTCAGAATCCCCAGAACAAGGTTTTTAGCTTCTCCATGGAGGAACAGAGCGAAGGCTCCTCCCCAGTCCACTTCACTGTAGACCCCTCATCCCCATTCAACAGCTGATAGGCTTCAGTTCTCAAGCCTCTGGAACCGCGGAGTCTCATCCTGGTCAGATAACTGCAGGTTTGTGTTCTTAGCTGCTCATCTTTGGTTTCTAATGTGTGTCATCTGGACCCAGAAGGTCCTGGTGCTGCCAGTCACATGCACCCCGCACCCTTGCCATCATCGAAGCCCCACAAATCCTTCGTGAGAGCAAATTCTGGGCTGCCTAGTCTCCCCCAGCAGATTTTGCAGTGTGAGTGGACACCCTGAGGGTGGAGAAGGTCAAAGTTCCGGCTGAAGCGCTGAACGTGCACCCACGGGCTGCAGAGCCAAGCGGCATGCTTTCTCGGTACCTGGCTCCCAGGCTTGTGGCTCCAACTCCGTGTGGGTCTGCGGCAGGACAGGCCCTGAGCTCCCCTCACTGCATGCCTGGTAGGCCGGACTTGCCATCTCTGACCTCCATAAGCTTCAAGTCTGCAGTTGGACCTGAGAGGGGTGTGTGACCGGCCTTCCACCCTGGAGCACCCCCGGGTACCGTCCTCCCTGGAGCAACCGCAGGGGCCGTCCTGCCTGGAGCACCCTCGGGCATCGTCTTTCCTGGAGCATCCCCGGATGCCTTCCTTCCTGGAGCACCCGCGGGTGCTGCCGCGGAAGGAGCCCTGGACTGGGGCCGCCGCCCCGCTTTCTCGCCCGTGTGGATTCTCTGGTGGTGGAGGAGGGCCGGGCGCTCGCGGAAGGCGCGGCCGCACTGCGGACACACGAAGGGCTTCTCGCCGGTGTGGATGCGCTGGTGGCTGAGCAACACCGCGCCCTTGGCGAAGGCCTTGCCGCAGTGCGTGCAGCGGAAGGGCCGCTCGCCGCTGTGCAGCAGCTGGTGCTGCGTGAGGTTGGAGCTGTGGCTGAAAGCGCGGCCGCACTGCGCGCACGAGAAAGGCTTCTCGCCCGTGTGCACGCGCTGGTGCTTGAAGAGCGACGAGCCCTGGCTGAAGGCTGCGCCGCAGAGCGCGCAGGTGTAGGGCTTCTCGCCGGTGTGCGTGCGCGCGTGCTGGATCAGGTGCGCGTTGCGGCAGAAGCGCCGGCCGCACTGCGTGCACACGTAGGGCCGGCCGCCCTCGTGGATCTTGCGGTGCTGGCTGAGGTTGGAGCCGTGGCTGAAGGCCTTGCCGCAGTCGTCGCAGCGGAAGGCCTTCTCGGCCGTGTGGATGCGCTGGTGGCGCACGAGCGACGAGCTGTGGCGGAAGGCCTTGCCGCAGGCCGGGCAGGCGTAGGGCGTCTCGCCGCTGTGGATGCGCTGGTGCTGCGTCAGGTGCGACGTCTGGCTGAAGGCCTTGCCGCACTGGGCGCAGGAGTAGGGCCGCTCGCCGGTGTGCGTGCGCAGGTGCTTGAGCAGGTCCGAGCTCTTGACGAACACCTTGCTGCAGGCCCTGCACTCCAGCGGCCGGTCCTCGGGGAGGAGGTCGGCCCCGGCCTCCGGGCCCACGGGCAGCGCTCGCACCTCTCCGTTCAGAATGGCCAGCGCCGGCCCTGTGCAGGCGGGCAGCTTCCCGGCCGCGGGAACCGGGACACACCAGCCTGCTCTCCCCCGAGCCTCCTCCGACGCCCGCGGCCTTCCTGAGGCCAGGTGGTCCGTGAGGACCTGTCCCCTCGGCAGGCTGCCCTCCGCAGCCCACAGCGGGGAAGTCAGTCGCAGGCCAATGCTCGCCTCCCCATGGCTGGAGCCTGGCAGAAGCTGCTCCCAGTAGATGACGGACACGCCGGTGGTCTTTCTCTCCCGCCGGCCCTCCACACTCTCCCTCAGGTCACAGGCATCCACGGAAGGCAGGGCACGGGCAGACAGAGGCAGAGACGGGCTCTCCGGGAAGGTCCTCAGCAAGGCTGCATCTCCAGGAACTTTCCCCACTTCGACTGGATAATGGGAACCTAAAGGCAGAGAAATGGTGGTCATTTGTTAGCCTGTCCAGGAGGGGCAGGCAAGCAGGCGAAGCCGTGGCAGTGTGCACCCTGGGAGGCTCTGTTAAAGGGGAGAAAAGCAGAAGGCTGGTTAGGATTGTGTAAAAACGTTCCTTTGGCCTTCTCCCTCAATCCTTTGCCTTCTTCCTTTCCATGCAGTCCTGGTGCTACGACCCCCATGTCTCCTGCTGTCAAGGAGTGGTGACCAGAGAGTCCACGGTCAATATCCATGGAGGGGGCTCTAAGCAGCATGCCTCTCAAGCATCTAAGGAGATCTGGAAATCTGCCATGAAGGAGATGGAAACACCAGATGTTTGAGTTGACACCAGGCTCAACGAAGCCTCTGAGCCAAAGGAGGAAGCACTGTCCCCTACAGCATCTGTGTACAGTTGTCCAGAAGGTGATGAGGACAGAGATTCCACAAACACGCTGGATACACTGGTCACCTATGTACTCATCACCACTTTAAATGAAAACTAATAGGTGATTATCAAGTAAAGTTATAACCCTGACAAGAACAGTCCCTTTGGGGACTCGGGGACACATGACACAGGGACTATTTTAGTCAACTCATATGCACTCAGCAGAACAGAGCAGAAGTGTCCTACAGGATTTCCAAGTCTATAATCTTTTTCAGACTAGAGGGCTTCATATTTCTCCCACAGAGTGGCTGGAAGATTTGAACCACAGACCTTTTGATTAGCAGATGAATGCTCTAACCATGACATCACTTGAGCTCCTAACAATAAGCCAATAAGATGGACAGGATCACCAGGGAGGTACACACTCCCTAGAGATCAAAGGACATTTGTCTAGGGAATAAAGCTCTGAGGACAGGAAGGATAGGTGGAAATGGTGAACTGAAGGAAGGACCGGGGAGGGTTACCACACTGTGAGAGCTGCAACCAAAGTCACAAATCAAAACGTGTGGGTGAAAGGAAAACCATCTGCTGTGTAAACTTCCACCCACAATCAAGTTCACCAAAGAAACGATCATGAGGAAATGCATGAAGGAACACAGAAATGAGCCCTCCAGGGCTTGAGCCGGCCTCGCAGAGACCTGGGGGTGCACTTGTCTCAACCAGCTCCTATGCCCTCGAGCAGCAAATGGTGCCTCCGAGAGTGGAAGGAGGAAGAGCCGCTGCAGACGTCTGAGAGGGGAGATGAGCCGATCGGTGCCCCCATCACTCTGAGCACCCACTCACCAGGGCTGGCTCTCCTCTGGACTTTCCTCGCTGAGACCCGGGCTGTATCTGTCCTGGTGGGGACCCAGGGCTCCTCACCACGTTCAAGCTGGATGACCACTCGGGGTCTAGAGGCTGCAAGCCCTGTGGGAAGGACAAAGCAGAGGAGAAGCTGGTTCCCTCTCCAGGGAAGTCCCCTCCCTACACAGGGCAGAACACTGTGTCACCTGCAGAGCCAGGAAAACCAACAGCCAAGGTTTGTCGGATTGGGAAGGGACCCAGGGGACTGGCCCAGTGGTCTCCTCGGGCAGCCCTGTGCTCGTGCCAGAGGATGGTCACGGAGCCCAAAGAGAGTGAAGCTGAGCTGGCCAGAGAGGCACAGCTTCTCAGCCCCAAGCTCAGCGTCCCTAGCCACAGAGATGGAGGCTGTTCAGGGGCTGCCCAGGAACTGAAGAAGGGCCACTAACCTGGGCCTGACCATCTCTCTCGTGCAAGACGCAGAGCCTTACCTAGTGAGGCTACGAGGGCAAAGTTCTCAAGCATCACATGACGGTACAGGGTTCTCTGGGCCAGGTCAAGCAGACTCCACTCCTCCTGGGAGAAGTACACAGCCACGTCCTCAAAGGCCACCAGGCCCTGCAATGGCAGACAAAGATATGTATGGTTTGGACCAAGGACCTACCTCCCCCACCCTAACAGTCAGTTCCTCTGAGGTCGTCTGATGCTAATTCTCCTCCCCTGGCTCTGCACTGGGTCCATCTCTCCCATCTCCAAACCTCCACTCCTCCACCCACCCCAGTCAAGCCACCGAGCACAAGGTGACCACAGCAGGTCCTGCACAAGGCAGGCTGTCTCCTAGTCAGGCCTGCTCTTGCTACAAGCAGCTGTCCAAATCCAGCCCTGGGGCTGTCCCTAACTGACACCTGATCTCCTTGGACTGAAGAGAACCATGTCCCTGCACACTGGCCTTCACAGGGGTGGCCGCAGGACACAGGCACACACAAAGCCCATCCCTTTCTCTTCTGCAGCCATGCCCTCTCTATCTCCTTGTTCTCTCCTGCGTTCCCTTTCCAGGGAACCCACTCAGCAGCTCAACCGTGATCTCATCTCTAACCACATCTCTCACGAAGTTCCTAAGACCTGTCAAGTCCTAGGCCCTTCCATGTACACCTACACCCCAAGGCGATGCTGAGCCTCCCTCCATGTGGACCGTCGAGGACTCAATATTTGGTCCCAATTCCAACTCCCGATCGTCCCAGGGAAACTTGCTTTCCCTCCACATTCCCGTTTCTTTCTACAACAGCATCATTCCTTCAGGAGATCCCGCTAACCTCAAGATGGTTCGTCCTTTGCCCAATACACTTGTGGCATTATCTTTGGAGCCAAATTAAGAATCTGTACTGCAATCCCAAAGGAAGCTGGTTCAAATCCACTAGTAGCTGCTTCACAGGAATCAGATGGGAAATCTCTTCCCATACAATTTACTGCCTCTAAAAACCTGCTGGAGGGTCAGCTAGGAGTAGGTTCTGACTTGACAGCATACAACATTACCCTGGCACATCAAGAGATCTATGCTATCTATCACTACTCCCACTGCCACAGTCTGCAGTTCCAAGGACTGTGTTAAACTGCAGTATGAGAGGGGTGAGGTGAGCAGACCCCATGTTTATTACTGACTGTGGTGCAAGGCCCATCATGAATCCAACTGCCTCACCTTCTCGCATCCCTATCTGTGGCCGGGAACTAACTTTCCTGGCAAACTCCTCCTGACCCGAGGCTCTTGGTCAGCTCTCTTGAGCTGGGTCCGAAACCCAGTGTCATATGAGGCCAAGTCATGGGGAGCCTGCACACCCTCCAGCCTATTTCTCTCTCCCAGTCACGTGGTCTCTGACCCCAGGAGACTAGGTCACAAACCAGGACTCCATCTCCACAGACTGCCGACAGCGTTTACCCCTCGAGCTGCATCTGCATGACTGTCATCAAAGCCCCTGCTGGCTCACTGTCCTGTGGCATTGTTATAACGGCTCACAAACTCAACCAGACTATATTACCTACACATATGGCTACCTGTTTCATAACCAGAATGGGTACAGGTGAGGAGATGCATGAGGCCAGGTATGGGGCCATTCCCAGAACAGAGCACCCGGGGACACGCCACCCATCTGAGTGTAAGGATGTTCTCCCTTCGCTGGAGACCCTAAATCACCATTCCAAGGTCCGGAGGCCTTTAGTCACGGGGACCTCAATGGACATGCACGACTTGGGCTTTAACGCAGACAGGATCGATTCAATATCCTTGAGAACCGGAGTTGGTCAGGGACGCACTCACTCGGCAGCAGAGGCTGACTGCTCTGGTTATTTGCAGACACATGAAATCCGGTTCTTTCCTTTACTACGGCCTGCGTCTCCCACGTTTGTTCTCCACTTAGCAACCCTGGGGATTCTTTCACAACCCAGCCACAGCTCCGCTCCCCTGAGCAGCTGAAGATGGAGCTGGGAGCACGTAGACCCCGTCTCATTCCCGGGCAGGCGAGAACTTCCTTCCAGACCTCACACCTCGGCTGACAGCGTGGAGACTGGGACAGAAGCGCTAAGTGTCGCCTAGGCAGCGAGGACGAGACGCCCAGAAGCACTCCCTCCTTCAGCTGGGGGAATCCACAGGAGGGGGGTCCCCACACTCACCTGCGCCGGATACACCTGCGCCACGGCAGCCGCCATCGGACACCGCAGGGCCCCGTGCCCGTCCAGTCCCCGTCGCCCGGCTGTCAAACGCGCACAATGTCCGAGGCGCTGCTTCCCGGCGCCGCAGAGCGTTCGCCGACCGTCCCAGGGACCAGGGCAGGGTGCGCTCGGGGAACCGGGGCTGGAGAGCAGGACCCTCGATCGAGGTTACGATGCGGGCACGGGAGCGAGACGGAGCCTCCACTCGCTGCGCTTCTCCATCTTCGCCTCCGGGAACAGCGCCGCGTACCCCGCGCTGCGGGACGACAGCTGATGAGGCCCAACGGCCAAGTGACAGTCCAGGCGCCGGAAGTTCTCTCCCGTCCCGGTGCCGAGCGGCCCGGTGCGCGTGCGCCGCGCGGGGGCTCCTGGGTCGCACAGCTTTGCCGGCGCCCGGCCGCGTCTCCACGGCAACAAGCAAGCGTCGCCGCACAGCACGCTGGGAAATGTAGTCCTGACGCACGCCTACAACAGAATACACACACCCGCATGCTGCTACTGCGCGCGGACTCGCAGGACCCTATGAACAGCAGCTCTGAAGCCTGCCCTGTCCTGAGCCAGTCGCACTGACTCCAACACACCTACCCCTATTGCCCCTGTTACTGTGTCCATCCATCTCATCCAGGGTCCTCCTCTCCTGAGCTGTCCCTCCACCCTTCATGCATGATGTCCTCCAAGGACTGCTCCCTCCCGGCCACGTGTCAAAGTATGTGAGAGAGAGTTAAACACATAGAGTTGCATAATATGTAAGATTTTGTGCATTAATACTTGTTAAAACCTATGTTCCAAAAAGTGGACATAGCATATACAGTTTTCTGTCCTGTACACAAAAAGTAAAAAAAAAAAAAAAAGATTGTTTAGTATTTGTTGTTGTGTACCCAAATATACACCAAATACACTCTTTATATTCATTCAAAGAAAAAAAACAGAATCATTGGAGCGGCTCAGCATCAGCTGTGAAACTGGACCAAATGCCGATTGTAAAATTCAAGTTGAGGTTAAAGAAAATTCATACAAATCACGAGAATCAAAATTTGTCATTGAATCTATCTCACCTGAGTTTCAAAACCACCGCAAGAACAGAGTTGAGGACTTGAACATTAATGAACAAAGACCAGATGTGCTGTGGAAGGATACCAAGAATATCATCCATGAAGAATTCAAAAGTTCATGACAAGGACTGAGATGACTGTCAGATGACACTCTGAATATTGTACTAGAGCGCCACGAAGCCAAAACCAAGAGAAGAAAGCTGGTAGTTAAGGAGCTGAACAGAAGATTTCAAAGAGCAGCTTGGGAAATTGACAAGTTGAAAGGATTAGAGTCAGAAAATCAAAAGGGACACACTCACTCAGCATTTCTTAAGCTGAAGAAACTGAACAACAAATTCAAGCCTCAAGTTGCATTACTTAAAGATGCTATGGGCAGAATATTGAATGATCCAGGAAGCACTGAAAGAAGCTGGAAGCAGTACACAGAGTCACTCTACCAAAAAGAATGAAGTGATGAAGGAGAAAATTCAAGCTGCTCTGTAGGAACTGATGGAGTATCAACTGACATTTTTCATTAAAAAGATGCTGCCCTGGACGTGCTCACCAGGTTGGCCAAGAAATCTGGAGGATATCTACCTCAACAACTGACTGGAAGAAATCCGTATTTATTCCCATTCCAAAAAAAAAAAAAAAAGGTGATCCAACAGAATGGCAAAATTATAGAACATCACCACTAATATCTATCTCATGTAAGCAAAATCCTGCTGAAGATTATAAAAAACCGACTCAGTACATTGATAGAGAACTACCAGAAATACAAGAGGCCATGGCAATCTACAACCAGGAGAAGATAAAATAGATGAATGGGACCTTCTAAGAATCAAATCCCTATGCACATCCAAAAACTTCTCCAATAGGGTAAAAAGGGAAGCCACAGACTGGGAAAAAGTATTTGGTAATGACATGTCAGATAAGGGACTTATATCCGGAACTTATAAAATACTTGAGCACCACAATAAGATAAAGGTAAATAATCCAATTGAGAAATGGGTACAGGATATGAACAGACACTTCACCAAATAAGACATTCAGATGGCCAACAAGTACATGAAGAATGTTCAAAATCCCTAGGTCTAAGAGAGATGCAAATCAAAACAACTATGAGATATCATCTCACCCCAGTCAGAATAGCAAAATTGAACAGAACAGCAAGCAACAAATGCTGGCGAGGATGTGGAGAAACTGGAACTCTTATTCACTGTTGGTGGGAGTGTAAAATGGTGCAACCGTTGTGGAAAGCAGTGTGGCGCTTTCTCAAAACTTTGCAAATAGAGATACCATTTGACCCAGCAATCCCATTCCTGGGAATATACCCCAGAGACAACATAACAGCCATCCAAGCAGATATATGCACACCAATGTTTATCGCAGCTTTGTTTACAATACCCAAGAGTTGGAAGCAACCTAAGTGCCCATCAACAAACAAATGCATAGAGAAGCTGTGGTATATTTACACAATGGAATACTACGCCACATTGAAAAACAAGGAACTCATGCAATATTATTCAAAGTGGGTGACCCTGGAGGACATTATGCTGAGTGAAATATCTCTGTCACAAAGGGACAAATACTGCCTGGTGCCACTGTTGTAGAATGGGACTGACATCAGGGTTGGGGTAAGATGGAGAAAAAAACTGGATAAATTATGTATACTGTATTGAAACAGATGAGGGAAAGAAAAGATTAGAGGCGATATATGATTGAGTATTATGGTTAGCACAGGAGTCCAGAATTAAGGTTGCATGGAGAAGTGTACTTGGTGCGGGGGAGGGAGGGAATTATATACCAATGAAGGAATTTTTTTTCTTTTCTTTTTCTTTTCAAAGAGAGGAGTCAACTGGTGGGGAGGGGTGGACAGGGAGAAAAGTGCAGCAATGGATGAATGGAAATCCAAAATCTCTGTGAATGTTTTTTAAAATTAATGGGGGGAAAAAAGAGGCCATGGCACTAAGGATATCACAGCCAATGTCAGATGGATCTTGGCTGAAAGCAGAGAGCCAGGGGCTGACTGTCAAACAGCCCATCAACTATTCATATTCAAGTTCAAGAAAATTAAAACAAGTTCGTGAGAACCAAAATATGACTCTGAGTATACCCCAACGGAATTTAAAAGCCTTTTTAAGAATAGATTTCAGAGAAGGCTAGTATTCTTCCAGCTTCGCACACCGGAGGAAAAGCAAGCCTGTCAGGGACCCATTCCACTCCCAGTTGGTTCAGTAGCTAGTGATTAAAAGATACTCTACAACAGTGGAGAGAAAAAAAATAGATTTGATGCACTGAACGTTAATTACCAAAGATGAGTTGTGGAATGATACCAAGGACATCATCCACGAGAAAAGCCAAAGGTCATCCCAAAGTCAGGGAAGACACACACTACCAAAATGAACATCAGAAGAAACTCTGAAACTTGCATTAAAATGAGAAGAAACCAAAAGGAGGGGAAGGAACGCTGAGGTAAGATTCAAAAGGCAGCCTGAGAAGATAAATGTCTTATAGTTGGACATGCAAAGAGCTGGACTTAGAAACTCAAAAGGGAAGACCAAGCTTAGCATTTCTTAGGGCAAAAGAACAAATTCAAGCATCAAGCTGCCATACTGAAGATTTTACAGACAAAATCTTTAATGATGCAGGAAACATCCAAAGAAGATAGAAGGAATACACAAAATCACTGTATCAAAAAGAAAAAGTTGACATCTCAGGAACCATTTCAGGAAGTAACATATGATCAAGAACCAACAGAACTGATCAGCTGAGGTGCTTCAGGAGGCAGAAGCAACCTTGGACATGCTCACCAGTCTCTGCCAACAAATATGGAAGAGAGCTAGTTGGCTAACTGCCTATTTGTTTCCGTTCCCAAAAAAAGGTGATCCAATAGACTGGAAATTATCAAACAGTATCATTAATATCACATGCAATTAAAAGCCTGATGAAAATTATTTAAAAACGGCTGGCAAAACAACTAGTCTAACCTCAGTTAGACTAGCAGAATTTAACAGAACAACAAGCAACATATGTTGGCGAGGTTGTGGACAAACTGGAACCCTTATTCACTGTTGGTGGAAGTGTAAAATGGTGCAACCACAGTGGAAGGCGGTATGGCGCTTTCTCAAAAAGTTGCAAATAGAGATACTATTTGACCCAGCAATTCCACTACTGGAAATATACCCCCAAAGAGACCATAACTGACATCCAAGTAGCTATATGCTCAGCCATGTTTATCATGGCTTTGTTCACAACAGCAAGGAGCTGGAAACAACCCAAGTGCCCATCAACAAACAGACAGACAGGTTGTGGTATATTCACACAATAGAATACTACACTGCACTGAAAAACAAGGAACTCATGCAATATTATTCAAAATGGGTGACCCCAGAGGACATTATGCTGTGTGAAGTATCTCGGTCACAAAAGGACAAATACTGCATAGTGCCACTGTTGTAAAACAGGACTGACCTCAGGGTTGGAGGAAGACTGAGAAAGATGGGTTCAATAATGTATACTGCATTGAAACAGATGAGGGAGAAAACTGTTTAAAAGGGATATGTGATTAGGTATGCATAGTGGAGTGGACCTGGGGGGAGGGATTGTAAAACAATGTAAGAATTTTTCTTTTCCTTCTCCAAGAGGGTAGTGTTATGAGGTGTAGGGTTGGGAGGGGAGAAAAGTGCAACAATGAATGAATGGAAAGTCTCTGTAAATTTTCATTGAAACTAATAATTTTTTTTAAAAAAAGGTGGGAAAATGGCTGGAAGTGTACATTAAGAGGGAATTTTCAGAAATTCAAACTGGTGTCAGAAGAGGTCACGGCACAAGGGATGTTAGGTGGATCTTAGCTAAAAGCAGAGAATACCAGAAAGATGTTAACTAGTGTTTTACTGATTATACAAAGTGGAATCATAACAAGTGTGGATCATAACAAATTATGGCTTAAACTTCTATCTAGAATAAGCAGTAAGTGTCCAAACCAAACAACAGGACAGTGCTGGGTTTCACATCAGTAAAGGTGTACATCAAGGCTGTATCCTTTCTCCATTCCTATAGAAACTATATGCTGAACAAATCATTTGAGAGGCTGACCTATATGAAGAAGAATGTGAATTCAGGACTGAAGGAAGACTCAACATCCTGCATTAGGCAGTGGACACAACCTTGCTTGCAAAAACTGAGGAGAACTTGAAATGCTTACCGCAGAGAATAAAAAAAACTACAGTCCTCTATAAGGGTTACATATAAGTACAAAGAAAATAAAAATCATTACCAATGGACCAATTGGCAACATCATGATAGATGGAGGAAAAAGTCTGAAATTGTCCACGATTTCATGTACTTGGATCCACATCAACATCAATGGGAGCAGAGGACCTCTCCAAAGTACTAAAGAGCAAAGATGTCAGTTTAAAGACTAAGGTGTGC